TTGGAGGTTGAAATTGATTTGAATGGGAAGATGTGTTCATGGAAAACAACATCTCTAGAAATGAAGAATGATTTAGAGACTATGTCATACAATTTGTACCCTTTAATTCTCGGAGGATAACCAACAAACACACATGCCTTGGCTCTGGGATCAAATTTGGTTCTATGGGAAGTTATGGTGGAAGCAAAGCAAAGGCTGCCAAAAGTTCTAAGATGACTATAATCCACAGGCCGTTGTACAAAGAAACAAATGGTGTTTTGTTTTGCAAGATGGGTGATGGAGTCCTATTTATGAGAAAAGTAGCCGTGAGAATACATTCACCCCAAAATTGAATGGGGATTCTGGATTGAAAAAATAATGCATGAGCAACATTGAGGAGGTGTTGGCGTTTTCTTTCAACCACCGAATTTTGATCTGGTCTTTCCACACAAGAGTATTGATGAATCACCACTTTAGTGTTGAAGTAGTCTGTGAACTTCAATTCTTTTGCATTATCAGATCTAAAACATTTTATGACTTTATTGAACTGTGTTTCTATGAATGAAAAGAACCTGGGAGTAATGGTTGCAGCATCAGATTTTTGCCTCATCAAATAGACCCATGTAAATCTGGTGCAGTCATCAACTAGTGTTAGAAAATATTTGTAGCCAGCACGTGTGGCCACATTGTAAGGGCCCCAAACATCGCAATGAACCAGATCAAAAGTAGCAGGAGATAAGTGGTTGTTGGAGACAAATGAAAGCCTTCTCTGTTTGGCTAAAGGGCACACAAGGTAAGGAACAGAAGGTTCTTTCTTTCTGTTATCAAATCCTAACAAATCTTTCAACATATCCAACTTCTTGAAGGACAGATGTCCAAGTCTATGATGCCAAACATGGCTAGTTACATTATTGACTGATGAATTACAAGAGTTCATAACAGGACTTGAATCAAATAAGACAGCTGAATTATAAGAATTCTTTGAACTAAAAGAGCTTGCATCAATTATATAGAGATCTCCAGCCCTTTTTCCCTTGCCAATCATTTTCAATGTTGGTAGATCTTGAATAATACATGTATCAGTAAGAAAGCTGACACTTAATGAGGACTTTCTTGTTAAAGAACTCACTGACAATATGTTGAATTCGAACTCAGGCACAAACAATACATCCTCAAGAATCAATTCAAGCGATATCTTTACATTTCCAATAAATTGAATAGGAATTTTGTCTCGATTAGGTAAAGTAACAAATGCATTTTGAATTTGTCTCAAACTGTTAAATGCATATTGGTTTGAGCAAACGTGACTTGTAGCTCCGGAGTCAATTACCCAAACTGTTGGTGAACTGATCACTTGATTTGAGGAAATAGAGAAACATGTACCCGTCATATGATCAACACCAGATTCCTGTTGTATTTTGATCTTTGTAGAAGTGAGATGAGTGTTCAGCAGACTTATCAAGCATTGATATTGAGTAGGATTCAAAGTTCGTATGAAGTTTCTAACCCCACTTTGTGGTTGATCTGTCTGGCTATTTATTCCTCCAACTCTCTGCTTAGGTTTATATCCAAGAGGAAACCCTTGTAGTCTGTAACATTTGTCAATGGTATGGCCTGTGTACCCACAGTACGTACACACAGGTCTTCCTCTCTTTTGAGATCTATTAATTGATTGCCCTGCATTCGCCCATTTAGGCTCATTCTTGACATAGAGAGCCATTGAGTTATTACTGCCAGATGCATCAACATTCACCTTCCTTTGGAGAGAGTATGGATTCAAGCCATCATCAGGTGCGGAATTGCTGGCTGATGATGAAAAAGTACGAACAGATTGATTTGGAATTTCTGAGGCCATTGATCAATCAGAAACGGCAAGAAGGAAGCATAAAGAAATGCTCTGATACCATATAGAAGAAAAGAAGAATCTGGAAAAAAATGGAAAGTATTCTCATTGAATCAAAATGTTTATCAGTACACAGGTAAGTATAAATAGCTGAACTACCAACTGACTTGACAGCTGTACACAGCTAGTTTCTATCTAAATTTGGTGCCAATAGTAGAGAAATTGCTGAGCTGCTGGAGTTCGTAATATATAGGAAAAGATTCATAACAACAAAATTTATCTTCTAGTTATTATAGATTAATATGCATGAATTTCGTAAATTTATTTTATTACTTTATAATATGTACATTTAAAAGTTTACGAGCCTCGAGCATATCACGTGATCATTTACATCAACCTAGTTGGCATTATAAACTTCGTGATTTCTTTTAAAAACTTAACTCATGTTTGAGCTCTATTTTTTTAAAATTTATTTTTCCCAAAAAAATTCATTTTTAACCATACATTCTTCGAATAAAATAATTTTACACGTAAATTTAAAAAATTTCATACTTTTTAACCATAAATTCTTCAAAAAAATCACTATCGCAAAACTCATTTTTCATCAAAATAGGGCTTGAATAGGAGCTTAGTATTTAGATTGTGCATTCGTACTAATAGAATTGATCTTTCGCCTCTAATGGGCACGATAAATGTTTTTCACTACTAATGTGATAGAGAAAATTGTAAGTATGGTCATCTGAATGTATGATTGTTGTAGAAAATCGTACGTAAAGTTCTTTTATTACATCAACAATAAGAAGTTTTTATTCTATACATTGTGGATAGAATATCAAATCTGTTTGTACTGATTACCGAAACACATATATCCATCATTTGATCCACAAAAGTGTACTTCATATACAGTACAAACAATGGTACATATTCTATGGGCCTCGTGCATATTGCCTGCTCGGATGTGCTTCTTATCTTGAGGTTATATCATTCATTTTGCTAAAGTGCATGAATATTTCTAGTATTTTTCTGATCTCTTAATATTTGATCTCTTCTTGTTTCATCTGTTTCGTTCCTACTGTATAAAAGAAGGGCCTAGACAAGTAGATAGCAATGGAAAAAAATAAAAAAATCATGCTCCTTTTCCTGCAAAATTTCGGTCAATATCACTTCTTTGCAGCCCTTTATCAAAAGCTTAATATGCATAACTTATAGGACCTTCATAACTTATATAATAGACCTTCATAATTTATAGGACCTTCTTTGCACTTGATGCTTTTCAATCAAGTGCAAGTTTTTTGGATTAATGTACAAATTAGCTTCTTTTGGGGACGTTTTAATCATATTCTAATGAATTTTAAGTACGAGGACAAAATCGACATTTTCTTTGGGTCGTGTGTTTTGTTTTATTTTTTCAATTCAATCTAACCATAAAAAAGTGATTTAGGGTAGGCAATTTATTTAAGGTTTATTCATCCCGAATTCGTATGCTAGATCACTCAAATACAATCAATCTGTAACATAAATTCCACTATTCTTCATCTCCTTCACTAATTCGTCCTCTTTATCGAGTCGGTAAACCCTAAAATGGTGACTATTTGCAGTAGTGCTAAATCGGATTTGAAAAATTCGAGCTAAAATAATTACTGCTTGCAAGGGCTACACGAAAGCACCAAAAAGACCCATCGTGTGTATGTGATCCATAATAATGGTATAAGAGCGGGCGTCATATCTCTCAATTGCAATCGAGCACTATAGATAGTGATGTCAGTATAGTAGTATTTGTTCTAGTGGATGTCAAAATAAGAAATCTTTCCTGCAAGCTCCCAATTGAATTATAAAAGCACTAAGGCAACTAAAGTAAAAGGTAGGTCGCATAAGAGGCAAGGCAAACCATACCATTACTTTAATACACATGAGTAGATAACAAAAAATAAAAATAAAAAGCACGACTTCTAAACCATCAAGTAACACGTGAATACATAACAAAATCAGTTATTAGCCTACCACTAAACAGTCACCACCTGTCATTTTCTAGAATATCTCAAAGCCTTAAAGAAATCTATAAATACTCCCACTTGATAGAAGAAAAGTATACAAATTCAATTATCTCCCTCCCAAACTCAAATTAAAATAAGGAAAACTGATTTTTATGATGTGAAATTTGACTTTAGCCTATCCATTGGAGACTAAATACTACCAAGCTGAAAAATCGAAGCTCTAAGGGCCTGCTTGGGAATCCTTTTCACCTATTTTGATCAATTTTGGGCTGCACCGGTCATGATGGTTTTAAAAATTGATGCTTACTAATTTTTTTGGGCACTGATTTTGAATGGTTTAAAAATCACCCAAAATCAGTGTAGTGTAATTTTGAACAATTCTCTCAACCCACTAAATTGGTGGGTTTTGACCATTTTTCATATTCTCTTCTAATTTTACCATCTATAGAATAATTATTTTGAATCAACATATTTTCTTCAAAACTAACTTGTAAATAAACATATATTAATTAAAAAATTATTTATAAGCAAAAAATTTCATTATAATTGAAAAAACTTAGTATTCTTATAAGAAAAATTACATTATAATTAAAAAATTACTGATAGTAAAAGATCACTCTTATATAAAAATTTTATTTATAAATAAAAAAAAAAGATAAAAAAATCACTTATAAAATATGAAAAGTTATTTATGAGTAAAAATTTCACTTAAAATTATTTAAAAGTATAAAATCAACTTATTATAAATTTTACTCATAAGTAAACCTTAAATTTTTTGGTAAATATTTAACGTCATTTAATTTTTTAAGTTAAATATTAACTTGTGTGTAAAAAAATTTTATTTTATTAGATATTACTTATGAGTTAAAAAAATTTCATATAAAAAATTATAAACTAAAAATTTTACTACGGACGTGTATATAATTTTATTTATTAAAAAAACTTTCAGAATCGATAGATAATAAATTCCCAAACATAGGTTAAATAATTTTAAGTATCTCTACTAAAATTACTCAAAATCGATCCATTTATAAATGCTAAAAGTCAATCAGCCTGTGAACGCTCAAATTCGATACTTTAAAAAACGAAAGCGAAATTCACAAACAGATGCTAATAAAAGCTACAAGTAGAACGATGAAGATCTATTTGCTCTTATATAAAATTGAAAACCTCATCTGTTAATTTCTAAAGATTTATCACCGGACACCAGTCTTCTTATTGTCAAATTATTGCCGCCATCTATTGGAAAATTTTCAATTAACCTAGAAAGCGCACTTGGCAGTTGGCACTCTCCTCAATTTGTCTCTCTATCTGAGGTATATTTCGCACCCACAACTTGGGAATCGATCATTGAAAGCGAGGAATTTCTTTTCTTTGCTAACTTCTTTTCATTATTCATTTAATTTGACAGATTGATAAGCGAAGAATTTAACCCCTCAGCATTTCTCCCTGTAAAAGTAAGATTTCTCAAGTAAATTCAAAATGGCTCAGATCCAGTACTCGGACAAGTATTTTGATGATACCTACGAGTACAGGTACTTCAGTTTACCTTCAATTTCTTCTTATATGTGTGGATGTATGTATAAACGTGTACAAATATTTTCCTGGGGTTTTGAAATTTTCAGGCATGTGAACCTTCCACCAGAAGTTGCCAAATTGCTTCCTAAGAATCGCCTTCTCTCTGAAGTAAGTTGTGGAGGAAACTTTTGCACTTCTGTATTACAAATTAGTAGTATTACTAACTGGAATCAGTCATTGTGGAAAAATTATAAAATGACCGAATATCTACAATATAAATAAAAGAGGAAATTCTAGAAAAACTGTTATTCATGTAAGGTAGCTAATAACTTATTCTATTATGTCCCCGTTAAGGAAAAATAGAAAAAATTGCAAATGAATGTGCAGTAACACTTATCAGATATGTGCTATTTGAGTTGAATGATATTATTTTATAATTAGTAATAGTGACATATGCAGCATTGTTTGTCTAAGCTAATAGTTAGTTATAAGTAACTTCTTTTGTCAAACAGGTTTTAGTTTTTCTAAAATTGTTTTGGAATTTTAATTTGAAATATGTAGTATGGCCAATCGTACTAGAGTGCGTGTTGAAAACCAGCACTCCTGGACACTCCAAGGCACGTCTTCGACTACCCACGTGCCGTAACCGATCTTTTGTATATTTTTTAAATATATATGGTGCTCGAGACAAGCATCTGATATTTCTTGTGTCATGTCATATGTTAAAAAGTTTAAATAAAGGTATAATATATAAATGTAAAATTTCAAAGAATCTGAATGGACGTTTCTGTGTCCTACTGTTTTGAAAAAGCACATGCTAGCGAGTCTATGTCGTGTGTCCATGACCACGCTTCTACGAATTTAGAACTTACTTTTCTAAAAGTGTCTTTACTCACTTTCTTGAGGGGGATTTTTTACATTTTTAAAGCTTTGCCAAACATGCTTAGTTGTAGTTTCATAATTTGAGTTGAATTATTTAATGATCCTATAATAATGTAACTTTGCCAGTTGTTATAAAAGTTAGTTGAGAATCTTGAGATCAATGATGATAATCTGTGCTAATTTAATGGTTTTGCAAAATAAGGGTGTTTTGGTATAAATGAACCATTTATAATGGCATTTCATCTTTTTCTACTTATCTATTTTGTTACTGCACATGAAATATCAATATGAAAATTTAGTTTTCGTGTATATGCTGAGTGAAGTGTAGCCACAGCCCTATATATAGGGTTCTCTTTTCTTTAAAATAAATAAATAAAATTCCACTTATTATTATTTGAACGAATATTTTTGTTTATTGTGACTTGGAAAAGAAATGTATGAAACAAATTGTGTTTTCCTTGTTTTTTATTTTGTTATTTGAATTTAATGATTTTTAAGATTCATGGATTTAAAGATTTTTTCTTTGAGTCTATGACTGTGAAATCAGAGATAAGAAAAATAAATGGAGTCGTTGTATTTTTCACGATCTGTTTAAGTGAATTTAATCAGTAACATATTGTCATGATACTTGAGAAGTTACTAAAATGATTAAATTAACATGCTTCAACAATTTTCTTCTGTTTTCTTGGAAAACTTATAGAGGCCACGAGCATAAAAGACTAATGATTGAAAACAATTATCATTTTCACCAAGTTCTTAAAATTCTCAAGTTGTACAAGACTTTTTTTCAACTTTCTGGAAGTTCTAAATCCTGGTTTTTAAACAGTTTTCATGTTAACGTATTCTTAAATCAGAGACTTAAGGAAATATAATGTGCATTTAAGATTGCCTTATAGATGATTTTAAGTATTGTAATTTGGTTGGCTGTTAGAATGAATGGCGTGCAATTGGGGTTCAGCAGAGCCGAGGGTGGGTTCATTACGCAATTCACCGCCCAGAGCCTCACATCATGCTCTTCAGGAGGCCACTGAACTATCAGCAGCAGCAGCAGCAGGAAAACCAGGCTGGGGAAAACATGGTTGCCAAGGGATGATTCCTTGCTTAGGTTTTCCACTTTTCTGACATCTGATTGTATTGTTGCTCTCATAGTCTCATTTCTGCTAGAAATGAACCCACTTTATGAAGAAATTTGTGTTCTGGGAGAATGTCAGAAGTGTTATAGTGCTGTGGTGTGAAGAATTTCAATGTCGAAACTTCTGTTTCAAAGACTTTGATGTCGAACTGGTACCTGAAATGTATTTGTAATATTTCAAATTCACTATTGAAGCCTTGATAGTTCTCAGTTGGTGGATTCTCATTTATCTTTTTGCTTTATCTTGTTCTTGTACCTTCTGGTCCTCGGCTATTAGTTAATAAATTGTTTTTGGGCCCGGCATTTAGCGTGTGTATCTCATTCTCTCTTCTAGATTTCCATAATCTGAAGTGATGTTGAGAAAGATACTGAAATAATTAGTAATATCTTCTGGTGTAGCCAGTCAATTTCATAGTTTGAACTGTGGCTTTTAGATGACATAAAATGTTTGCGAAGTTGTTTGTGCAATTCTTGTCATCAGGTTAATAGTTGGTCTAAGTTTTCTTCTTGTATTTCTGAATTTTGAGGATATTAAGATTGCATCAATAACAAATATTGGGTTTACAGTTCGATTTTTCCAATTAGTTAAATTGTTGGCATTGAGTTTGTGTTCAAACCTTTGGCAAAACACCCTGATATTTGGATTTATGTTTTCTTAAGTTCAGTTTCGGCTTAGTTTCCGGGATTGTTGTATAGTACATTGTGATTATGCCAAATGTGATTAATTCATCTATCATCCCTCACTTTTTTGCTAGCTTTTGTGATGTTCTTGAATGTGCATTGATTAATCAATCTTTTTTTTTTTTTTTTTTTTTTTTTTTTTAAATTTCTTTCAAGTTTTC